ACGTTATATACTTTATAATGCAGAACCCGGAGATACTGAAAACAATTGTAATTACCAATGTGTTTTTAAAAACGTTATAACTTTGGAACGGGGGGAGCACTAACGATGGGGTTTTCGGCACAAACCAGCACTAACGTAGCACAATCCGATGATGTTAAAAGAAGTTCAAATTTCCAATGTGGGGGGGCTATCGTTAAGATGGCCCCCCCACTTTGAAAACGTTATAACTTTGGAACGGGGGGAGCACTAACGATGGGGTTTTCGGCACAAACCAGCACTATCGTAGCACAATCCGATGATGTTTAAAGAAATTCAAATTTCCGATGTGGGGGGGCCAACTTAATGGAGCCAGGGTGCGTTTTATTTTGGATAATTTTGTATACAACGTTTCTAGTTAAAAATCAAAAGTTGAAAATATTCTGCCGATAATAGAACATAAATTATCATTTTGTTGTATCATCATCCAAGTGTTTATCAGTAGAAATCATTTTCGGCCTCGATGCGATAGCTGAAAAGGTATTAATAATTCTAATTAATGTTTTCAACAGTATTCACAAAACTGATAATATAAAATTTAACTGCAAGCCCTTATACCTACCGATATTTCTTATACAATCGAAATGTTGACCTTAAAGTCCTAAAATTGAGCCAAACATATTTGAATACACATTTTATTTTGAGATTGGTGTTGGTTTGATGAAATTAGATTTAAGCCTATTTCGACATTTTGACTTGAACCGAGAAATTTTCATGTGACAAAATGTAACTTTTATAAGAACACTTGACTTGTTAAGAAATATTTTCTGAATATGAGTTTTCTTTTTTAGGTGGAGGGGAGAGGGGAGGGCATGACAAATGTTAAAATTTGTATTTGGTCGACTTTATATCAATTCACACATGATATCTGATTTGTTTAAATCCTAATTAAAATGACACACAACTTGTGTAATACTATTCGGAAATACTTTTTGGAAAAATCGCTTTTTTCATGCTATATATATTTTTTTTTTATATAAACATAACAATTTTGTCGCGTTTTCTTAAACGGCAAATGAAGGTTTGTTCTTTTTGTGAAACCACAAAAATAATTTTAATTGCTAATTGAGAATATCAAAATCAAGAAAATGCAGCAACCAAAGGCTTTAAGTAAACATGGTCCTTGGAAATGGTTTCATTTTTTTTTGTGGTGGAATTTTCCAACTATTGACACAACGTTACCACTGTTAGTCTGTTCTGTGAGTAAAAAATATTTATTTTTATTTTTAAGCAGTCAACTAATTAGGATAAAAGTATACGGATAATCTAGTTTCACACCGGGATGCTGTATTATATCATTTTTTGTACAAATTAAAAAAAAACCGGTCAACATAAATCCTCTCAAAAAACGTCTCCAACACACAAAAAAAAACAAGTATTTATCGTTATAAAACCAACATTTACTCGGCTGTTACCACATCGGTCACTAATCCGTTAATCGACACCAATCTATACTACACATGTATTGAAATAAAACAAGATTTATTCGGACTGTGTTAAATATATAATGTTAAACATAAGGACCACAAATACCGCCATCGATGTTTAATAACATAATATTCTTTTTTGATTAATGATAATATTATAGATTTGTCTGTAACTTGATAGCCAATTATTATTATTTTTTTTTATCCGTGTGAACCCGACCTCGAGGCCAGACGTTATTAATGATATTTAAAACTAGTTTTCCACTAACCATTGGCAATTTGTATTTTAATATTATATTATAATTATTGTCTATAATATATTACATTATGTCATTAATAGACCTTTTGGTTCAGATAGCATAGCACTTGTGTTGTGCTTCAATATCGTCCAATTTTGTTTATGCTTCCCTTCGTTTTTCAAATGTCTTAAACGACTCTCATTGTCACTTTTCTCGAGGGTAAAGTCGTTTGTTCCCTACATTTGAATAGTTAAGATTATGTCAGTTAGCATGAAATAATAGAAAACATTGCAAGTAAACACGTTGTTATCAAGATTGAATAAACCACTAATTAACTACTAAGGAGTATAGTTGTAGACTATTAAAAATATAAGAAATAGTAACCTATCGTGTGCCGATTAAAAGAGTTCTGCTTAAGGAAACATGTATGCGGCGACCGTTGGACTTCTTTGTAGAATCCCTAAGGAATTTGCCATTTCTCTATAAGAGTAGACCTTTGGGATAACTTTCAACACCATACAAAACATTTACATTTTTAATAACAACATTCGTAAGCTAAATTTCGATATTGTCAAAAAAATTGTTTAAAATAAATTCGTTTACAAACAAATCAAGTTTGATTTTGAACAATTAATCATTGAAATTGAGGCAAATCCGTGCATATGGGATAATGGCAGTACTGACTTCCTACCGTAACAAAAATTTGAAAGCTTTGGCATAGAAGTCGATAGGCCATAATATGTTTGATGACTGGGGTGACCTTTCGGAAATCCAAAAAGACGAAAGAGGTAAGTTGACTATTGTACAAATATATTATATTATATAATTTACAAATTATAAAGTAGTTTACACATTATAACTAAAAATACCAATACGTTAGTACCCATAAAACAATAAAATGTGATATTCATATTACAATAATATTTAAAAAATAAGCGATTTGATAATTTTTTTTCTATTAAAAGAGTTAGGGATACTGTGTATAAAACAGTAGGTGGTTGTTTGTTATCAACAATTATTTGTTTTGTCTCTCGTGTAAAATTTGTATTTTGTGACTTGCGTTACTTCACTCACTTGAGTTCTGTGGTACACATAGGCAGAGATTTGATAAGTTTTTTTTTTTTGGGGGGGGGGGAGGCTAGCGTTTTTCTTCCTAAAATCACCGGCAAGGGCTTCATACGCTCTCATCATTACTCTGATGAAACATTATTAAGATGATAAAATGTATTCCGTAGCAGACTTCTATCGCAAAGTTTTCTCATTAAAATTTACTATTATTTCTACCGCCAACAGGAACGTTTATATAGCTTTTGATTTATGTTTATGATAGCACTCTGACAACGTAGCAAATTACTCGGGCTGTTCGTTTAGTAGTTTTTTTACAGTTCATTGATTGCCAATATTAAACCGACGTTTACGAGGAAATAACTCAAACCATTTAATCCAACGGCTTCAATGAACTAGAAGCTACAGGTGGCTATTAAATTTCCACATAAAAAGCGATGACGTACCGTGCATAGTAAGTAACCTGTACGTTATTTTATTTTTTGTTTTTAAATTCTGTGTTGTAATAATAAAATAGAATTAGCGAACAGAACCGAACAATACTTTGTGCGTAGGTAAAATAACTTACATTTAACTAATGCCGCCTGTCGGCTTAATCTGTCGCAGCTAATTAGAGAGGGTAACATGGTGTTCGTCCCTCTGGGTTTTTTTACACATTGGTCATTCTGCGGTTATGAAAATTATATTGAAAAAGACAATAGGTTCCAAAACAACATGGGAGTCAGTGGTAGCTTTCTAGAAACGTTTGATTCAAGTTTAAAATTTACTCAATAGGCATGCGGTCTGTTTTTTTGACGTTTTAGACTAAAAAGCCAAACAAAATTTCAACTACCTTTTTTTATCAAAAAAATTGTGTTTTAATATAAAAAAATTACAAGAAACTGAAATTTTTTTCTACATAATACAGTCGAGTAGCCAATGAACTCCTCGAATCTCTTTATAGAACTGAAATTGGAACATGGAACATTGTAACTTTTACTCGTGGAAAAAAACAATTTTAACTAAAAATATTATCGTGAAGCTTTTACAAATTAGTTTACATGGTCGAAATTTAATAAAACTACTCTTTCCTTAAATATTGCCTCTACGTAACTCCTTAAAAACTGATCGCATGTAACCCCCTTAATAGGGTGTTTTGACATAAAATATGTGTCTTATTATTGTCTTACAGCCTCCAAGTATCATAAGACGTATTCATGTTTCTTTTCGTATTATTCACGTCTTTCTTTCAAGGAAAAAATTAACGATTTTTTATTAGAAATTTCTACATTACAAAATACCTGAGCCTCTTGTGGAACACTCAAAATCGGAATTTAATTTGTTATCTCTTGAGCGATTTGTCTGAGTTTGTCATTAACATGCATAAAAATATTTAATTAAATAACGGTTTTTACTTATACATATCAGGTGTAACTTATAGATAATGTTTTTAAATCGAATTGTATATGATATGTGTAGGTATAGTTATTAGACGTAAGGTACCAAACTAAATATCCATACATTTTATTTTTATTTGCTTTGTGTATTGTTAGTTTTCTACGAGTAACATGTATTGTTTTTCCATACATATATATATTAAAATTATTATTGATTTTATCGCATCTTGTTGACGGTTAAAATGTACAACTCTTATACAGGATAAACTATTTTAATTATATAGCTATGTAGTGTTTTTTATGTGTGGAATAAAGTAAGAAAAACCGGCTATATAATATATATTTTGTCTCGTAAAAACTCATAAAATAATGTTTGTAAAAAATCATTTCTTATTAATATTTCCAGCTTATTTGTATTCTACTGATAGGTTTTTAATATTATTTTGATAATAACAGAAGACAGAAGGGAAACCATATTTGATATATATATATAACAAAATTTGGTTATGATTTTATGATTTTACCTGACCTATTTTTGCTATCGATTCAAACGTTATTTTGTCGGCTTATAAAAACATGTTATTATAAAAACTTTACATTTTTTGCCAAACTACCATCGTACAGTTGTATTTACCTGGCCACACATGAATTATGGTGCAACAAAAATTGTAAATACATAGTGTTGTATGTTTTTGCTAAATACGGGATAAAAAAACCGGGCTTTACAAATTTTGATAAATTATCACATGTGTTTGCATTACCAAGTACGTAGTAATTTGTGTTTTTGTCACATACTTGAGCCTAATATACAAAAAGAACTACTCATTTCCATAATCGTTATCGTTGTGTTGAATACTGAACATCTTTTTTATTTTACATGTAAGCAAACTTTGGTCAAGTACTAAATATTAAAAAAAAATTATGTATTTAAAAATTACTCTTCTGATCTGCGCGTTACACTTCTTCGCGGCAGTGTGGGTAAGTATAACACAAACGATAACGTTACCAATTAGTAATTAATTTTCATACCCAATATGACCAAATTTGACCTCTTTAGTTTTTTTAAATTAGTCAAATTAATAACACTGTGATTTACATGTTGTTTGACAGAGCGTTGGACTAATGGAAGTCCATATCAACAAAATCGATGAGTTCTTTGATAAGTACAGAGGACGTTTAAACGAAGTTCCAAAAAATATAATTATACATTTTTTATTAAACGAGATGCTCTATAACAAATTGACAAAAGTTTATACGTCCGAAGATGGTAATGTTCTGACTATTTACATTAACTATGACCTACACACATTAAAACGAAATAATTTATTTAAAGTTTTAACACCCCAAAGGGGGGTAATGAGTACAGTTATTAAAGTTTTACAAACGATTATACAGCAACAACTTAGGTATTGGATATTATACAAATAGAAAGAATAAAGAAAAAATTAAATATATATTAAGTACAATAAATACACGTAAGCTTGATTACTATTGATTATTATATTTCTTAAATTTAAGTTGGGAATCAAAGGAAAATCAAAATCAAGTACATTGTTACATGCATCTCAAAAGTGATACTCCGGACTTTATTTTAATTAAATTCGTTGAGCATTGTGGTAATAAGAACGGGCGATTATTTCTTGAATTAAAGAGTGTAATTTTAAAGTTTATTTGGCTTAGGAATCCTGGAAAAGATCAATTAGGTTATTTTGTTTAGGATTCCAAATTACTGACGCAAATTCTAATATGGACCTAACAAGAGAGCAATATAATACCTAAATTAAGACAATTAATGCTTTTAAGTTCGAAACAGTTTCTATTTATAAAACCAATTGCTCGTAGAGCTTTTAAATGAATAGCGTCATTACGGGCATTGTATGTGAGCTTAGAAAACAGTAAAACACCTATATTCCACACAGTTGATTAAATTTGTAATTCAAGATTGTTTATTTTACATGTTTGCACTTAGGGGGATTAACTGAAAGACCGTTTCGAATACACCATATTTTCAAAAGTTTATCTAGATCGTTTCGTAACTGGTTTGAGTTTTCGATTGAATTAATTGGTAGATAGATTTTATTAGTTACTTTCTTAGAAATCATAATTAGGCCATCGAATAGAATCACTGTAATATAAAACTTACATAACTATACTCTGTCTTACGAGAGAACGGTACTGCACAGAAACAAAATCGCGTTACTCCTGTTTATCTGCACAGACAAATATGACAGCAATGGGTTGAGTAGTGTTAGTGTACTGTGTTATGACATTTTTTACTATAATATCTAAAAGTACTATTTGGTTTGTTGTAGCTGTGATCGATGATAAAACTGTGCCGAACTTCCTGTTAAAAATGGGCCTTATTGATAAAGATATTGACGACCCGCAGGTAATACCGAAATAATTAATAAAAAACAAAAATTATCTACTTGTAATATATTTCACAAAACTGATAAAAAATTAACAATTATTATTTTTGTTATGGGTGTAATTGGTATTAGGAAAGGGGTATGACTACTTACGAGATAAAACTCTACGTAAAAATGTTTAACGTTCATGACAAAAAAAGTGTCGAAGGCGAAGCTGAAGGTAAAGGTGAAGGCGATAGCGAAGCTGAAGGTAAAGGCGAAGGCGATAGCGAAGCTGAAGGTAAAGGTGAAGGCGACATCGAAGATGATGGCGAAGGCGAGCCAGACGGTGTTCTTACCCATGCTGAATTTTCGGACTTATTGGACGCCGTTTTAAACTTAGAAGCTGACGTTAAGTTAAAAATCAAAAATAAACTCAAAAGTAAATATAGGAAATGTGCTTAAAGTTAAGTAACGTTATGCAAAAATGATAATATATTTTTAGATAACAACGCAATAAACGTGGCTAAGTTTTTGGCGACATTAATGGAACATAGAACGCGGGTAAGAAAACACGGTTGGCCGTAAAACCTAAATCGCACTCGCCCGTTTATGCGTGATTAAATTGCTAAATCTATAAAGATAATATATATTTAGGGCAAAGGTCTGGACAAGCGGCATATAGAAAAAGCCATAACTTTGTATGAATGTTATTACGCAAATCTAAATCGTGGCAAGCAACAAGAGTTATACGAAAATTTAAATATCGTCTCCGACGAGTATAAGGACCTAATCGATTTCGAGCACCCTCGTAAGCATATAACTATTATAAAGTTAATCGAATTTAATTATAATTGTATACAAGGAAAAAAAACAAAAGCCAGTAAAGTGGGAACGGAGCATGGTGGAGTCAGGACATAGTGGGGACGGATAGGTCACAGGTTTACAGGAATTTTTAAATCTGAAAGTGATAAATAACTTTCGAATAAACGCTTTGATGCAAATCGGTAGTTAGTATTTTCAAGTCAGTACAGTCCAAACCAAGCACAGTGTAAACCAGAAAAGTTAGAAAGTATTAAATTGAAGTGCTGTATTTACAAATAAGCATCAAAGCGTCACAGTGTGTACATACAAAAAAAAAAAAGCCCACATCATTGTAAAACCAATAGCATCTCTGCTTTGCATCGAAGCTAAAATCTTTAAGTCTTGACGTGGTATCTGTGACTTCACTCATACACAGCAACCTAGACATTGGTTTCGGTCAAGTGTAATTTTCACATTTTGGTTTTTTCTTAACAAAAAAAAAGTCTGGCTCCAGATTTTTGAGAAAAATTGTATTTTGTTGTTGCTTTATTCTAGGTCTGTTTTTCAGATATTAAGTACTAAAAGAAAAAGTAAAATAAACAAATTGTTTCCGCCTCTTTTAGAGTAATAATGGTTTATAATATTATTTTGGGGTTTTCCACGTTTATCGGTACTATTATTTATTTAAAGAATATAACATAAAATGATTGAATTAATTTAGTTTGAACTTTTAATAAATGGAAAGGGTGACCTTTTAAATTGTTTTCCACAAAAAACTACCCTTGTGGTATGATTTCTGATCTATGTTTAATAATCTGTTTTTAGAGAGCATTGGTTACGAGTTGCAAGAGTTCCTAATCTTTTGGGCGGAAAATAACAACGAAGTCGAAGGAGTTGTAATGTTCTTTATTATCTATACAGTTTCAAATAACATTTCTATAATTATTAGTTCCGGTCAATAATAATGTGTAATGATGATTTTGCAGGCTATCCCTAGTAAAGATGTTAGGGATATTGTTTATGAGTTCACTAGGTACGACACAGGCAATGACGGTGTGGTCAGTTTTGAAGAATTTGAACCAATCTTTAGGTCGTACTTTAACGAAAATGAGGATATCAGAGGCGTTTTTAAGAAATATACCAATAGTAATATTTGTTAATATTTTATATATTATATATTGTATAATACTACTAAAAGGTGACGTATCTAATTTGGCCAATATCTAAAACAAATGTTTGTAGATAATGCTGATATGACCGCTGCTATGTTCATGAACATAAAATATGATAAAATTTTTTTACGAAACAAAAATAATGAAGACGTGACAATGGAAGAAACAAATGACACGGCTAAGTAAAATGTGGCAATAGAATAGCAATATTGCAGAGATGGCTACTTCATAGCATTTCATCGTTACAACATTATTACAGTCGTTAATAATTTACAATTTTCCTATAACTATGTTATTATTTATTATTTCGCCTAAATTCGAATTATTATATTTTCAACAGTTGTATTTTTCCGTGTTCCGAATAAATTAACAATAAAAATATATAACTTAATTGTTTATTAAATTTTATTTTAGACACCTGTCAGGTTTAATTATGTACATTTTAATATGGTAGTGCCTTACAGCTAGCTAATAACTAAAGTGCTAACAGTTAGTAGAACCAACATGGATGTTGGGTATATTTTTGCAAACATAAGGTTTTAAAAAAGACTTGACGAATTGACATAAAGAATAACGACATAAAAAAACGAAATTTTAATAACATTATGAGCTTGTTGTGAATAGGAAAACAAACCCACACTAATAGTGAGAAGATAGATATTTGTCTTAGCTTTATTATAAGGTAATATAGAGGTAGACTAGATTTCATATCCATGCGGTATAATGATTTCATGTTAAAAAAAAGTCTGTATGTTACATCATATAAACGCTTAATTTTAAATTTTCTATTGTACTAAAAGAGATAGAAAGTTTATTCTAAGCTCATTCGAATGAACTTGTCAAGTAGATATACATTTTCTAGATTTTAATAACAATTAAAATTTGTATAAATCAATTAGTTTCTTACAATTAAAAAAGTTGTCAATTTTTGATAAACTATTTTTCTTTTTGACTGACTTAAAAAAAAGGATTAGGTTTTCTATTCAACGATGGAATTATGTTCGTCAATTTCTATTGAATGGAAGTAAATTTATTGAATCTTGATGAAACTTTTTTGAACATGTAGTTCAAGTTCTAATGGTAGTACCGTTATTAGCTTTGTTGCTGAAAAATTATTATAAATTTAATTTAAAAAAAAACGAATGCATAATAATAGTGATATGTACTTAAATAATGTATAGATAGTAAAATCTAGACATCGCTAGGATGCTCAATGGGAGTTAAACACCACTTTTCACATTTAACTTTTTCCATTTTTTTTTTAAATGTGTATGTACAATTTCTTGCTGTTTACTTGTTTTATAATCATTTAGATCTTACACCTGTCATTTTTTTGTTAAATCCTTAATAATTAAAATAAAATTGTAAACCAATATAAGAATAACAATAAAATGTAATATTAGGGCTCAGATCACTGATACTTTTTCTCCAATAAATAAATAAACAATTATAATATTAAAATTATTATATCTAGTAATATATAATGTATATTCTAACTTATTTCTTTAATATTCAACTATTATCCTTATCTCTTGAAAGCCTAAAAAAAATTATTTAAAAAAAACCTACTTCAGAAAAAAGGTACATTTGAGCGATTTGACAAAATGAAATGTCTGCTACTTAAAAAAGTATTAAATCATTTTTTTTTCCTAATCGATTTTTTTGGGGTTAATTGTTCTATTTGGAACTTATAAGTTAATAATATACAATAACTGGAAATAATTTTAGAATGTCTGTAAAAAACAACATTTTTCTAACTTAAAATTGTCTTAATCTACTCTTCGGTCGATTTCAACACTATTTGGACAGTTTGTTGTGGAAATTAATAAATCTTGGAGGAGAAGAAAAATTCTTGATTTTTTTTATATTTAAAATAACATTTTCCAAAAATCGACACGATCCAATCCAATATACCTAATTGATTATGAAAATAATATTATTGTTGCATGATAATAATAATATATATTGAAACAAATCTTTGAATGGGAGCTTTTGCACTGAATGAAGCGAGGTAATTATTTTTCTGCTGTCGGCGGCCTATTGGAATCCAAGTCCAAAAAAGGGGATACCCTTAATATTCATGCGACAATATTATTCTTTATATTAGTTTTTTTCGTAGACACACCTATTGTTTTTTGGGTAAAACGATTCGATTTGTAAGGTGTATTTGAATGTTTTTCATATTGTCTGGTATGTATCTGTCATATACCGTCGCATTTTTTTTTTTTTTTTGACGTTTGTTTGTACTTGTATTAGTCAACACATAGACACGTATGTTCTTGCCACATACATACTAGAGTATCTACAAAAACAACAACTCAACCACGTAGTTGTCTTCAATACCGAAGATTTTCAAGTACTAAAATATTATAAAACATTATGAATTTCAAAATTTATCTTCTCATCTGCGCGTTACACTTGTTCACAACAGCCTGGGTAAGTGAAACACAGACGGTAACGTTAGTAATTAAAAATGAATGTTCATACTAAACATGATTATACTATATGTAATATATAAGTATATAACTTAGGACTCCATATTAAAATGTGTATAATATTATGATGTTTTGCAGAGCGTCGGACTAACCGAAAGCTGTTTCGACACAATCTTTGAATTTATTGAAAAGTACACAGTGTTTAAAAATGAAGTCCCCAGAATTATAGCCGCACAGTATTTAATGGACTTGGGCTATAGAAAATTGATAACACTTTTTCCGGCAGAAGAAAGTAATGTTCTGTCAACTTACATTAAACATAGTTGTTTTATGAGATAATTGTTTTGGGTAAAACGCTCCAAATAAAATATTTATCATATTTAATGATCGAAAAAAATAATAATATATATTTAAAATAAAAATATTATTCAAATGGTAATATTAAGGGGTTAGTTTATAAAGTCAAATAGCAAAGTTATTTATTTTATAAGGGATTTTTTAATAACATTATTATTAATATTAAAACATACAGAGTCATTAAAAATGTATGTTACAGTAATTTTTCTGTAAAATGTTTGATTTTACAAGAAAAAGTTTAAAACTTCAACCCGAATATGTTTAGTGATCGTACCTTTAATTAATTATACCAGGGAGACTTTTAAGATTAATATTGAAGGATGACCTTTAGCAAGCAGTTAAATAGTACAAATACCTAAGTACTCGACTATGCATTAAGGACTTTTGAAGTTACTTCAAATTACTTATCCATAGACTTTTATTTTAGTGCAATAACAGCTAAACCACTGCGTTCAAGAAAAATGTTATAATTTAAAATAAAGACGAATTTTTCTCAATCATGTTAATATACTGTATTATGCAATTTTTTTTCTATAACTATATCTCATAGAGGTGTTACCAATGGGTAGCTTCCTTTTCAAGATATACATGCCCTGTTATAATTTAGATTAAAAAAAAACTTATTGTACATACATATTTGTATAGATTGTTTTTGTAAAATAAATAAAAAAAAAACTATATCTAAAAATAATATTTGTTTTGTGTAGCTGGCCTCGATAGTAAATCCATGCCGGAATTCTTAATAGCGTTGGGCAATTTGGATAAGGACACTGACGACCTCCGTGTAATACATAATAGATATAAAATACAGCTATCTAATTATAATATTAATTTTGTTGTGTGTGTCTAATTAATATTAGGATAGCAGTTTTACTACTTACGAAGTAAGACTTTTCATGAGAATGTTCAACATAAAAGACCAAAAGGGTGTACACGACGGGTTTCTTACCTATGCCGAATTGGTGAACTTATTTGACGTTGATTTATACCTAGAACCTGACGTTAAGAAGAACATAAAGAATGAACTCAATAGTAAATATTTATAGAATATGTGCTGAAGTGTAATAACATAAAAAATGATAGCATGTTTTTAGGTGGAGATTCAATAAACGCCCTAAAGTTCTTGACGACCATATTGAAGCACAAATCAAAAGTAAGAAAACGGGTGGCCGTAAAATCAAAATCGCACTCACCTGTTTATACTCGATTTGAGTTGCCGCTGTATTAAGTATAAAGATACAATTTATATTTTTTAGGGCAATGGCCTGGATAAGACACAGATAATGAAAGTCATTCGTTTGTACAAGCCTATCTCCGGTTATTTTGATGATAGCTACCAACAAGAGTTTTATAACAAATTAAACATTGTTTCCAAAGATTATAAAAAGCTATTGGAGTTCGAACACGTCCGTAAGCCTAACATTATATCTTTATATGATCAGTCTAACGTATCAAGCCGGTACAGTGAGGTTGGGGATTACTACAGGGATATAGTATATTTAGGCAAGGGAGGTCTTAGGTCTATTTGAACTATCACTTTTAAAGAAGTGCTTCGATTGAAATTAGTTTCGGTCAAAGTGAAATAAAAAAAGAGTATGAATACAGATTTTCGAGAAATTTTATCTACATTCGGTCAATCTTTCAGATCTTTAGTCATAACATTTTGCAAGTATAAGTAAATTAAACTGCATTGTTTCCGCCTATTTTAATTCAAAATTGAAAAATACATTATATGTGCATTTTTTTGGTGTTTTTCGCGATTTTCGGAAAGGGATGGCCATAAAGTACCCTTTCTGGTAAGATTTCCGGTCCGTGTTAAATACCTAATCTGTTTTTAGAGCCACCTGCTCTGGAGCTACAAGAGTTCTTAGTCTTTTGGGCGGAATACAATACGGAGGATCACGGAAATGTAACGTTTTTATACTGTTTTACATAACAAAAACTAATGTTGAAATTATATAATGATGATTTTGCAGTCGCGGTTTTTCTCCAGTAGTGATGTAAGGGATTTTATTTATGAGTTCAATCTGTACGACAGAAAATCTGACGGTGTGATTACTTTTGAAGAATTTAAACCAATCGCTAGAACGTACTTCAATGAGGATTATAAGTGTTGTTTTGGAAAAACGGTTTTTGATCAATATACCGGAAGTAATAATCGTTAATATTGTATAATAATGCCAAAAGTCAACGTATCTTATTCGGCGCATAACTAAAACAACTGTTTCTAGACCAACCTGAAATGAACGCTGCTATGTTCTTGAACATGAAATACTATTTAGTTTTTAACGGACAGGATGCGATGAAAATGTGACAACTGAAAAACAAAGGACATGGCAAATGAAAATGTGCCCTTAGCAATGTTGCAGAGTTCTACTTCATAGCATTTCAACATTACAACATCAATGCAAAGTCATTAATAATTTACAGTTTATTTACTATTATGTCTCCTAATTTTGAAATAATAATACTTTAAACATTTTGTCTCGTCCAGTGTTCCGACTAAATAAAAATACATTTTTCAAAATTTATTTTATTTTATATACCAGCTGTTACGTTTAATAGTGTACGTTTTAATTTGGGTGTGCCTTACAGCTATCTACTAACCAGTAAAGCTAGTGAAACCTACATGGCTGTCAGGTAAAAAAATCAATACATTATGAAGCAAGAAATGAAGGGTTAAGACATGGAATTAAATCTGAGAGCAATTCTCCAAAACATAAAAATCATTAAAGTCTACATTACTCATTGTATTTTTTTTATATGTTATTAACTTAAATAGCTTTTAAATTTGAGCGTCTTTTTGAATGTTATGATTTAACAATCATTCCGGTTAAGTTCTTATTGAGCACTACCGAAGCGCATTTAATTTATGTTATGGGAATGATCATTCATTTAAATTTTTTTGTCTTGTGAAAACTCAAAAAATCATGTTTGTAGAAAATAATCCTAAATAAATATTTCAATATTTTTGTTTTAATCTACTGATCGGATTAAAAAAAATAAATGGAACACAATAGAGGTGAAATAAATTTTTATATTTATATAAAACAAAATTTAGTCCTTTATACATTTTGGTTTTTCCTGATTTATTTTTTTATCGACTTAAACATTATTTTTCGGTTTATTTAAACATGGTTTTAAAAACTTTACATCTATTGCCAAACCACCATCGTTCAGTTGTATTTACATAGCTTTTGCTACACACTCGTGCAACTATTCATTTATTTAATCGCCCTCGTTTTGTCAAATACAATAAGTAAGCGAATTTAGGTTTAAGCATACTGAAATAAAATAAAACATTTGTTTTTTGCTAAATACGAGATAAAAAAACCAGGCTTTAAAAATTTTGATAAATTATCACATTTGTTTGTATTACCAAGTACGTAGTAACTTATGTTTTTGCCACATACTTGAGCCTAATATACAAAAACAACTATTCATTTCTATAACCGCCATCGTTGTATTGAATACTGAACATTATTTATTTTACACGTAAGCAAATTTTGGTCAAGTACTAAACTATAAAAAAAAAAAGATGTATTTAAAAATGTCTCTTCTCATCTGCGTTTTACACTTGTTTACTGCAGCCTGGGTAAGTAAAACACAGACGGTAATGTTAGCAATTAAAAATTAATTTTCATATCCAGTATGCGATTGTATGAAGCAAGTTTATTAGTTAGACCTACATTATTGAACTGCACATACTATGATGTTTTACAGAGCGTTGGACTAACCGAAAGCCAAATCAACACAGTCGTTGAATTTTTTGAGGAGTTCAGAGGAGGGTTGAAAAAAGAAATTCCCAGAATTTTATTCGCGCAGTATCTGTTGGATTCTGACTATACCAAATTTGAAAATTTTTTTCCGACCGATGAAAGTAATTTTCTGACTATTAATATTAAATATATAGTTACATACATTACAACTTACAAGACTCATTTATGTATTACTAATTGTTTCTAAGAGACATTGGTGGTTTGACCTAAAGCGTTTCAAATAAAATACTTGTCATATTTGATGATCAACAAGTATTATAACATAATATTATATGATATAATATTATGCCCCTTGCATATTTCTTAGCATCGGCCCTGGGTATAAATAATTAAAAATGTTAACAGTAACGATGAAAAAAAAGTTATTGATATTCAAAAAAAATAAAACATTATAATAACCAGGGCCGGTGCTAAGAAATATGCAAGGGGGGGTGTCAAAATGAAGATGCCGACTTTAAAATTTTAATTGCCGACTAAAATATTTGGGTACTTTCGTAAATATTTTATGACATTTTACAACACAAGTCACAATTTTTTGCTAAAATTAATGGGAATTAATAATTGTTGAAAATTATTTTTTTTTTAACTTTGAATTATTATTTTTTAAGTATTATTATACAAACAAATTTATATAGTAAAAAAACCATCAAAAGTTAAACTTTAATAAGGCGTTTTTTTTTAATGCGGACTATTTCCTTGTTATTTCTTCCAAATCAATTATATCGAGAATATCTCTGGGGAAGTTTAAAATCGCGAGAGTCATTTTTTATTATTTTTAAAAGAATAAGAAGAAGAAAAATGATAATGATGTGATATTGTTATAAATTGTGACTAGATTTTTTTGATTTTTAAAATGTTTTTCGGAGCATAGAAATATTTTAGGCAGCTAACAAATGTATTTATTACTAAATTTCCAGATCTCAGTCACCAATACTAAAAAAATTTGAGCCCTACTTTAAAAGCATTATTTTAAAAATGTTTGAATTTATATAACATAATTATAACGTATTGCAGTTGAAACTGCAATTTAACCGAGATATAATCCAAATAGCCTTATTTTAAATAATTTTATAAAAAATAATGAAATTGTATTCAAAATTATTATAAAAATCTTTGAAATAAAAACAAAAATGTATTTTTTTTATGAGTTATTATCTAAATACAATTTTATTTTTATTTTAGTTAGGTACACTATTTAAAAATAATGCTCATGTCTGCTCCCTGCTCGCTATATATATAGTATAGTAGGATATTATAGTAGGTAATATACCACCGCAACGATAGTAATAAAGAAGAAACAAGACATAGTGAAGTAGTACCAATGAACTCTCATAGGCCTTAAAAATCTGGCTTAATGATTTATTCTAAATACGTATCCATCTCATACCTTTTGTTCAAAATTTACTCGGGCAGGCTCAAAAGGATTGTTAGCAGCTCCTTAGTGTTTCATATTCATTCTCTAACCATATATATATATATATATATATTAGATTACACATATTTATAACCATTACTTATTACTTTACACGCGCACACGGGACAAGCAAAAATAAACCGCTAACTCTTTGCCTGCAGACTTAATACTATGGGTTATGTGATATGTCTAAAACAGAAGAGAAGGTTTTTTGTTTATAGTAGGGAATCTTTTAGAATTTTAAAACTAAAATAAAAATATATACTTATAGAGGGATAGAATGTTTGTTTACAATAGACTAATAGGTCCCATGACCGAACATCGTTTGATATAATAATATACACCACAGTTATTATAAACAAATGATACTTCTGCTAAAATCGGGAATAACCGAAAATGCATTGTTTTTTTTTTTACTAAAAACTAAAATTGTATTTTCGTATGGTCGTCCGTATGCCGACTATTCACTATTCGTCGCCAGATTCCAATAAAAATTATGTACCTACCTACTTTTATAAAATAAAAATAATAAATATGTTATTTGTATAATTTTATGAGGGTTATAATATTTACCGACTTTTTGTTCGGAATGTGCTGACTCGAGTTTTCCGAGTGGGGGGGGGGTGTCAAACCCCCCCACACCCCCCTCTAAGTCCGGCCCTGATAATAACGATAATGCAGTTTAAATAATATGTTTATTATTATTTTTTTTTATTTTTCAAACTATTGCCATCATCTCGAGACTTAGAACTTGAGGTGTTTCTATTCAAAATGAATTATGGCCATTTATAATAATAGGATTTTTTTATAAGACTATTTTAGAAATAAAATGATTCTTATAAAAGATGATGCGTCAAGTACTTTCCTAAACGTAAATTTACACATGGTAAATGTGTTTTTAAAACTACAACGGTATTTTTCAAACTATTGTTTTCCGAAATTGTTTTTTTTTGCATAACATAATGTTCACGTTCTTGAAATACAAATAATACAAACAGATAAGGTTACTTACATATTGATATTTGTTACCATCGGGTACGTTTATTTAATTCACATGTTTGTACAAAATTCAGTATCCAAACTTCTTACTTCTTTTGAAAACCGAAAATCCTTCAAAGTGTATAAACTTTGTCCTATTATTCCTGTTGATAGCATGTGTGTCATGCCTGCTTGCATTTATTTGTGCCAATTAATGCTTTTTTAAAAACATAAATTATGAGGTCTATTTTTTTTTTTAATTGGACCATATTCAATTAAATAATAATCCTTGACCTACTCAGTTTCTTGTTAGTACATATACATAATATATATATATATATATTTTGTTTTTTTCCAATAACTATAACTGCAAATATTTTTTCGGTTGTATAGCCGTGATCGATGATAAAACCGCGGCGGACTTTTTGATACTTTTGGGCGGTATAGAAAAGAAAACTGATAACTTGCTGGTAATACCGAAATAATAAGTACAACAAAAAATTATCTACTTACACAAGTTAATAAATATTATTTTTCTTGTGGGCGTAATTAATATTAGGAAAAAAGTATGACCACTTACGAAGTAAATCTCTTCGCGAGACTGTTCAACGTTCAAGACAAAAAAGGTGTGCCCGACGGACTTCTTAACCAAGCTGAATTAGTGAACTTGTTTGACGCCGACTTAAACCTAGACCCCGACTTTGAGGATAAAATAAAGAAGGAACTCGATAGTAAATATTATAGAATAAAGTATAGTTACATAAAATAACTATCATTTTTTTTCTTTAGATAACAATTCCATTAACGCACCAACGTTCTTGGCGGCAATATTGAAACATAAACCAGAAGTAAGAAAACACTTGAAACCGAAATCATACTCACCTATTTAGGCATGCTCAAATTGCTGTAATTGTATTATAAAGATACTAGATATGTATTATTTTTTTTTTAGGGCAACGGTCTAGACAAGACACAGATAGACAATTGCCTTCCTTTGTATTTGTGGTACAGAAGCAAACAGCTTGAACTTAGCGTACAACAAGAGTTATATAAAAAATTAAACATTGTTTCCGAAGGTCATATGAACCTAATGGAGTTCCAGCACACCCGTAAGCGAAAATTATTGAGTTGAACTTTTTAAATTTTTGGCCTAAGAAAGTACCCGTCTGGTATGATTTCTGATCTATGTTTAATAATCGGTTTTTAGAGTCCTCTGCCAAGGCGTTACAAGAGTTCTTAGTCTTTTGGTCGGAATACAACACGGAAGATCACGGAAATGTAATGTTCAATAACGTTCAATTAGTTTTGATAAATAGTAATGTGTGTAATGATGATTTTACAGTCGCTGTTTTTCACTACCAGAGATGTTAGAGATTTTATTAACTTGTTCTCTTTGTACGACAAAGACAATGACGGTGTGCTCAGTTTTTTGGAATTTGAACCTATCTTTCTTAAGTTCTTTGCTGGGCAAGATCAAGTTGACGTTATGTATAAATATACCGGAGGTAATAATTATAAATATTTTGTGAATATTATATAATAATACTAACTATTGAGAAACGTACATAATCTGACACATAATTTTTAAAAAAAAATCTAGATACTCAATTTATGTCCATTGCTACGTTCTTGAAAATGCATTACGAGTTAATATTTGAACACGATGAAAAAGTGACAACCAAAAAAAAAAATGACATGGCAAATGTGAAAGAGCCAAAGAAACTTCATAACTTACTTCAGAGCATTTTTCTATAACTATGTTGTTTTATAATTTCTTCTAAATTTGAGTTATTATTTTTTAAACATTTGTATCTATTTTCCCGTTTTCTGAATGAATAAAAATATGATTTGAATTTTTTTTAATTTTACTTTATACGCATTTTCCTAGTCTTTAAAACTAAATACCAATATCATGAGCGCTTAAAAACAATCAAGTGTAATTCAACAACAAATAAAATATGATTACTTATATTAACGCTTCTTAATTGAACACTAACTTACAATTTTAACCATTACAAAAAATATGTAGTGATCTGTTGTTTATTCACTATTATATATATATAATATATGAGTTCTGTCTTCTGACTAATTTTCAACTAAAAGGTAATAGAACTGTGAATAAAACAAAATCAGAAACATTCATAGTTGGGCCTCATTGGGACTATAGGTACTGTTATTTTTCATACCAAAGTAGTAATTTAAATGGCAAGCTATTGCCCTATACTAGTACAACAAATAAATATTCCTTATAAACTTTCAGCTCACTACTATTTTGATATGCTAGTTTGTCAAATTTAAAAAGTGATAATTTTTTTTACTTTGATTATACAGGATGATTCTTTTAACATGAACCACTCATTATGTCATAAGGTTTAATACCATATTAATAAGAAACCTGATTTTTTTTTCACGTTGTTTTTATACAATATGATCTTAATTTTCACAATTTCAAATTCACAGGAAACAAACATGCAACTTTAATGGCTATGATTTTTGAACAGTTGGGTATAAACCAATGTTTCGTCTTAAAACAATACGATTTATATTTTTACTTGGTCTCAATCCCATTTGTAACAATTCAAAAAATTAAGCAGTTATGTTAAACAGTTTGTATAATAAGATTAACTATACCAATTATTTTTAACAGGGTACTAAATAATAATTTAAAATTGCTATAATTTTTGAACAGTTAGATATAAAGTAATATATTTAAACGTTTTTGCCATAACATTATGGATTTAGGCACAACATGTAGCTGACGTTAGTCGTTATTTAAATACAAGTTGCTTGTTTTAAGATACCATTTATTTGTGTTAGAATATTGTTTATTTTAGTTTTTCAGTCACTCTATAACCATACCATATTAGATTTTGAATAAAACTATTTAAATTGTTTGTTTTAACTGCAAACTAGGCTATTTACAAAAACAACAGCAACTCATATGTTGTATTAATTTATTTTTCGGATTATAAAAACATGTTTTTACCGATATTTTTACCGCAAACCTGAACATCTACAAATACAACAACGACTCTTTATTTAATCGCATTGGTTGTACTCAGATCCAACGTTATTTTATTTTACACGTAAGCGAATTTTTGTTAAAAGTATTAAAAGAAAAATAAAAATTATGAATTTCAAAATTTCTCTTCTCATCGTCTTAGTATACTTTTATGCGGCAGCATGGGTAAGTAAAACATAGATAATACAATTAATAACTAGAAAAAATAGTCATGCCTAAAACAGAAACTACATTGGCTATTTTAAAGGACCTATACTATTAGATAGCGAATAATATAATGTTTTGCAGAGCTTGGGACTAAGTCAAAACACAATCGACGAAATGGTTGAGTTAGTTAACGATTACAGAGTACAAAATGGCGACGAGGACAGAATCACACTGTCGGAGTACAAGCTGAAAGATAAGGACTTAAGTAAATGGATATTTTACATACATTACGAGAGTCAGAGTTTTTTTAGTAGCTTTTATCATATAGTATTTTACTATGAGATAATTGTCTTATCTTAAATGTTTTATATCGCATTAAATAATAAAAAATAAAATGTCCATTTAGGTTAGAAAAATGTTTTTGAAAAATATTACTAAAGGGTTATCTTAGGAAGTTAATACATATTATGTAAATATGTATATGTATGTTAATACCTATGCATTAGAATTTCGCGAGAAACTTTTTTTAGCCAATACGATTATTTCATTGAAAAAATAACTTCAACATGAAATTTAAATAGTTCAGTGCAACTGCACTAACAGTTTTAACTTCAATAGATAGCTAAGAAGGTGTTGTTTTTACAAGGATGTGTTAAAAAAAGCCGAATTAGTTTCCGATGTGTAAAAAAGGTTCTTCTAACTTGGCTTTACCGATAAACGGGGACGAACCAATAAAAATATCTTAAATCCCTTTCCCTATAAAGGAATGACATTTTTTTCTTCTTTTTTATTTAAAGATTTAAAGTATAAGGTCTAAAAATTAGTTTGAAAGTAGATTTAAAATGGGACTATAACAAATTATACAATATTTTTAAAAGTTGGTACCTAAACTTTTTTTATTAAGGAAAACCAAAAAAAAAAAGAAAAATTAAACATTGACCGTAGTCCATTTCTAGGTTGCTTTGCGTGAGTGAACCAACACTCAACAGGTATGGGAAAATATATTGTTCATCAACAATAATGTCAATCTCTTAATTATTACGATCAACCCAAATACTAAAAAAACCTTATAAGCACATTATTGCTTATGAAAGTGATTTTATCACATTAAGCCGTGATAATTCGTTTAGTTCTGAGATCTTTATGAGATTTTCTGTACACCATTGTTCAGTTTTATTATTATTAATTTTATATGAATATTTTTTTTACACATACAATTCATAGTTGCCCAGAAATCTTGCACATATCTTTAGGCTTGTTTTTGCTGAGTTATGGCTAAAAAACTGAAATTTAATAGTCACAAACAATAATTTTATAATGAATTCTAGAAGTGAATAAAACTAAATATTCATAGATAGTTTACGTTACAACTATATATAATTATTATGACCATTTTAAATTAACATCGAATTTTATAGATAAAACATTTTTTTCTGATAAAAATGAGGTCATTTACAAATTGGAAGGTGTAGCTATGGTTGATGACAAAGGTTTACCGGATCTATTAATTTATTTGGGCACTCTGGAAAAGCTATCTGATGAATGGAAGGTAATACCGCAATAGTACATACAAAAAGAAATGTTCTCCACAACAAAATACCTAAGAAAGTTAACTAATATTATTTTTTAATGTAATTAATATTAGGAAATAACTTTCACTACTTTCGATCTAAATCTTTTCATGAAAATTTTCAAACAAAAAGATAAAGAAGGTGTTGAAGGCGAAGGTGAGGCAGACGGCCTTCTTACCCACGATAAATTAGTGAGTCTAATTCACGACAATTTAATCCTAGAACCTAAATTCGTGGAGAATATAATGAATGAATTTAAAGGTAAAAATGTATTAAAAATATACATAAAGTTTGGTAACATTAAAAACTGTCATTTCATTTTAGATGCAGATTCAATTAACGCACTAATGTTCTTGGCGACAATATTAAAGCATAAACCAGAAGTAAGAAAACGATTCGCCGTATAACCAAACTTTACTCGATGTCTTACGTGTGCTAAAATTGTTGTGTTATAACCGCTTTTAATTTATATTTAGGGTAAAGGTCTTGACATAATACAGCTAAGAAAATGCTCAGCTTTGTATAAATCGTTTTCCGTTCATCTTTCTACTGATAGCCTAGTAGACTTATTTCTGTCGTTACAAATTGTTTCCGAAGACTATGTTGGGCTACTATATGAGATAGAACACGTCCGCAAGTTTACATTTATATTACTTTGAAATTAATTAAAAAGAATTACATTTTTATAAAAAAAAACAAAATGTTTAATAACCTGATTATAGAAAGCCCTGCTCTTGAGCTGCAAGAGCTCTTAGTCTTTGTGTCAGAATATAATAAGGAGGTCGACGAAAGTGAAAATGTAACATTGAATTACGTTTATATTTTTATACAGTTATAATAACATTTATATAATTAGTTCCGATCAGTATTCATTTATAATGATAATTTTGCAGTCAAAGCGTATCAAAACTATGGATGTTAGAGATATTATTGAGGAGTTCTCTTTGCATGATATAAACTCAAACGGTGTGATCAGCTATAATGAATTTCCATCGCTTGCTCTAGAGTACTTGACAGAAAATCCAAAAGAATTATTAAGTAATAATTATAAATACGATTTAATAGTAATAATCATATGAATATATATTTTAGATTATATTATAATATTATATATGTAGTTGTACATTACTATTACAATTATTTTATTAATGTACATTTGATCTCCACAATTTGTTATCAATTGTAGATATTTTTTTTACAAAATAAATTAGACTTATATCGCGTTCTAATTAATTACAAATATTAAAATATATTTTTTTACTTTTATTACTTTCGAGATATTCTAATTGTTTTAGGTAGGTCCCCAATACCGGAACTCAAACCGCTCGTTAAACTTTACGAACTCTCGAAAGCACAAAAAAAAATCGAATATAAGGTAGATAAAAATCCTGACGGTAAGAACTATTTAATTTATAAATTTTTATATAATAAAAAAGGTACTATTCTTGCGTAATTTGATATACACTTAAAATAAATGTTTCTAGCTAACTGTTCAATGACCACTACTACGTTCTTTTACTTGAAATACTATTTACGTTTCCGTCGATTTTTTGATGAAGAAGAACGGATAAGATTAATTGAAGAAGAAGAACAGAAAGTATTAACTAAAGAAATAGAACGAAAAAGATTAATTGAAGAAAAAGAACAGAAAAGATTAAACGAAGACTTAAAAAACTTAAGATTATTTGAAGAAAAAGAACAGAAAAGATTAAACGAAGACTTAGAAATGGTAAGATTATTTGAAGAAAAAGAACAGAAAAGATTAAACGAAGAAGACTTAAAAAAGATAAGATTATTTGAAGATAATGAACAGAAAAGATTATTTGAAGATAATGAACAGAAAAGATTATTTGAAAATAATGAACAGAAAAGATTAAACAAAGACTTAAAAATGATAAGATTATTTGAAGAAAAAGAACAGAAAAGATTAAACGAAGACTTAAAAAACATAAGATTATTTGAAGATAATGAACAGAAAAGATTATTTGAAGATAATGAACAGAAAAGATTATTTGAAGATAATGAACAGAAAAGATTAAACGAAGACTTAGAAATGATAAGATTATTTGAAGAAAAAGAACAGAAAAGATTAAACGAAGAAGACTTAAAAAAGATAAGATTATTTGAAGATAATAAACAGAAAAGATTATTTGAAAATAATGAACAGAATAGATTAAACGAAGACTTAGAAATGATAAGATTATTTGAAGAAAAAGAACAGAAAAGATTAAACGAAGAAGACTTAAAAAAGATAAGATTATTTGAAGATAATAAACAGAAAAGATTATTTGAAAATAATGAACAGAATAGATTAAACGAAGACTTAGAAATGATAAGATTATTTGAAGATAATAAACAGAAAAGATTATTTGAAGATAATGAACAGAAAAGATTAAACGAAGACTTAAAAAGGATAAGATTATTTGAAGATAATGAACAGAAAAAATTAAACGAAGACTTAAAAAACATAAGATTATTTGAAGATAAAGAACAGAAAAGATTAAATGACAGGACACTTGCAGATTTTCGGTATAATAATTCTGGAAACCCATTGCATAATTTTGAAATCGCAGAACAACAAAGAAGGGCACGGAGAAATAACTTTGGAAACGCAGTGCAACAAACAAGTTTCCGGCAAAATAGTTTTGAAACCGTAGTGCAAACAAGCCACCATGAAACGGAAAATATCCCGGACGATAATAATTTAAGGGGTTTGGAAGAAAACAATCCCGGCATTTATGAAAGGGTTCATATGGGTTTTGTAGAGGCATGGCGAACCCGCTAAAATAAAGGAAACGGAAAAATTATTATTATTTTGAAATTTTGTTCACCTGTTCAGTTATTTTGAAAATTTGAAATAAAGAAAGTAAAAAAAAAATTGTATTTAATCATTGATTTAAATATAATTTTGCCAGTTTGTTTTGAAATTGATTATTTTATAAAAGGGCAGATGGGGAAACACATTTTTATTTTACAAATTAATAAATATTTTTTTTTTTGAACACAATAAAAATATTACTTTAAGAAATTGTACAATGCTAACAATACTATGATGTCAACATTTTCAATTTTATACAGTTATTTTATGACGAGATTATTTTATAGTTCCTCAAAAAAACAACACTACTTTTGTCATTTTCTTGTAGAGTTATAGCTAAATAAGGATGTTCTATGAGTTTGAAAGGATAGTATTATTAATAAAGATTAACTTTTCAAAAATAATCTGTGTTTAAACTGCGTACATATATAATATACATTTATACAAGGTGATAAACTTATCGCGAAACACTCAATATCTCACTGAGTTTAATAAGAAATTAATTTTTTCTTTAGATAGTGTTTTTATAAAATGTGATCTCAATTTTCAAAATTTTTTTTGTTTTTACCCCCCTTCCAACTTAGTTTTTTTGATAGAAACTTTTGAAACTTAAACGGTTACGTATACATTTCATTAACTTTTTAAATTGAGAATAACGTACTAAAAATTTCGGCTGGTTGATAACCAGTTTTGGATAACTATTTTTGGAGTATTATTTTCATCTGCGCGCATATCTCAACCGCACTTTCCCTCCCATCCTAGCTATTAAAGTCTTATTTCTATTTCCAAAAATAGTCTTACGAAGCTGGTTATCGACCACCCAAAATGTTTAGTACAATATTCTTAATTTGTAAGGTTAATAAAATATATGGGTTACCATATAAGTTTAAAAAGTTGCTAACAAAAATACTAAGTTGGAAGGGGGATAAAAACAAAAAAAGTTGCCAAAAATTGAAATCACATCGTTTAAAAAATATTGTGTTTTCTTATTAAACCCTATGAGATATTGAGTGGCCCATGATTAAAAAATCACTCGATGCATATAAGTAAGGGTGTACAAATTTCTGAATTTTTGGTTTAAGTCCTAAGAAGTCATACATCATTGGCTATTTAATATAGCACTATACAACGGAATTAAAAAAAAAGGAAATTCTTACAGCTCCAAAGTTTCAAAAATGGTTTTTTTTATTTTGACACATCAGACTTTATTCTTTTGATTCGTAATTTTAACTTCGATAACTTAATTTGAAAGGTTAATGAAGTATATGGGTTACCATTTAAGTTTCAAAAGTTGCTATAAAAAAACCAAGTTGGTAGAAGGATAAAAATAAAAATAAAACAGTGAAAAAATTTAGATCACATTGTAAAAAAACAAAATTTAATTCATATTAAACCATATGAGATATTTAGTGGTCCATGATAAATCACTCTGTATATATTTTTTATTTTCCCAAATTTAAAACTTTATAGGATGTTTCTGTCAAAAACCAGAGTAATACTTTTGTTTTTACAACAAATCAATATTATTTTTCTAAATTTAAATTTTAATATTAATTAAAAATAAAAATGTAATACATTTTATATTGCCTATTTTAATTTTATCGTTGTTGGAAACAAAATAAAAACTAGGAATGTTTTTGAGAGGTCAAATAAAAATAACTTAATTGATAATACATTGTACCATACATTGTACTATAGGAGTGTGCAACTACAATGGTAGTCAGTACCAACTTTACAATAAGTTAAGAACATACGTTAATCGTGTCAAACCTAGTTGAGTAGCTCTATTTGTGAAATCACCCTACTAAGTGCAAAGTAATGTCATACGATAAACCAGTAAATGACGGTTATAAATTTACATTTTTTTTTAGTTCAGAATCCAAACAATTTGATTTATATTTTTAATTGGTCACAACCCTATGATCTCATAATGAGATTAACTATAGTAATTATTTTTTATAAGGCTACAACTTACAAAATTATAAGTATATATAACTTTTGAACAGTTGGATATAAACCATGTTTTTAAACTTTTTTGTCTTAACATTTATGGATTTGAGCACAACATGTAATTTTTTGTTCTTGCATTTGTTGGATATATTTTTTTTATAATGAAGTCTCTTGTACATGTATCTAGTATCTTGTTTTGTGTTAGGTGTGTTTTTTTCAACAAATGTAACATAACAGAGGGGAAACCATATTTTTATATACAAAACTGTATGTATAAAACAAAATTTGTTCCTATACACGTTATGATTTTGCCTGACCTATTTTTACTATAGACTTAAACGTTATTTTTCGGTTTATAAAAACATGTTTTTATAAACTTTACATTTTTTTCCATACTACCATCGTACAGTTGTATTATTACAGTTGTACCTGGCCACATATGAGTCATTGTGCACAACAATTGTAAATTGAATTCAAAGTGTATGTTTTTTTTCTACATACGGGCTCAAAATCAGATTTTACAAATTTTGTTTTTTATTAGATTTGTATGTTTACCGAGTACATGAACACCGATGTTTTACCGCAAACTTGAGCATCAAAAACAACATCAGCTCATTTATTTAATCGCTTTGGTTGAACTCATGTTATTTTATTTTACACGTAAGCGAATTTTCGTTTAAGTACTCAAATATAATAAAACATGTTTTTCAAAATTCCTCTTCTCATCGTATCAATATATTTTTTTACGACAGCGTGGGTAAGTAAAACATAGATAATAAGATTAAGAATAAGAAAAAATAGTCATGCTTAAAACAGAAATTACATTGGTTATTTTAAAAGACCTATACTATTAGATAGCGTATAATATGATGTTTTGCAGAGCGCCGGAATAAGCAAAAACGCTATCAAGGAATACGTTAAGATAGTTAAACAGTACAGAATAGCAAATGGTTATAAGAAAAGAATCACAATGGCGGAGTATATGCGGAAGGATAAGGACTTGAGTAAATGGATATTTTTTATAATATATTACGATAGTCAGAGTTATTCAACTTTTACCTTATAGTATTTTATTTTAAGATAATTGTATAATTTTAAAGGTTCCGTATTTAACAAAAACAAATTTCTGTTTATATTATTATAATGATTTTAAAAGGTATTATTAAAGAGTTACTTTAGGAAATCAAATGACTATCTATGTGTTGAGGATTTTGTGAGAAACCGTTTTAGCTAATACGATTATTTCATTGAAACAATAACTACAACAAGAAATTGGAATAACCCAGTACAATTGTACATACATATTATGATCGCAGTGTTTAGTGAGCCCAACTACTCAGTATTAAGGAAAAAGGAAAGTAAAATTGCATTATAAACTGTTTTTTACATATTAAAACTATTGTTTATATAGTACGATCAACCCAAATACTAAAATAACCTTGTGCGACATCCAATCTGTATTTCCACCGATACAGATTCACACTGTGGAGTTTATATGAAAGTTATTTTTGTCATATTCGGCCGTGATATTTGTTTAATTCTATGACACCCCTTGGTTTTGTTTATTATTAACTTGACATGGATATTTTTGTTACGCATACAATTCATAGCTGCCCAAAAAAACACATATCTTTAGGATTGTTTTTGCTGAGTTATAAATAAAAACGGAAATTTAATAGTCGCAAACAATAATTTTATAATGAGTTCTATAAGTGAATAAAACTAATTTTACATAAATAATTTGCATTATAACTACGTATATTTATTATGACCATTAATAACATCGAGTATTATAGATAGACGATATTATAATGATAAAAACGCGAGCAATTACAATTTGGAAAATGTAGCTATGATTGATGACAAAAGTTTACCGGATCTATTAATGCATTTGGGCACTCTAGATAAGATAAATGACGACTGGAAGGTAATGCCGAAATATTACATACAAAAAGAAATGTTCTCCAAAACAAAATTCTTAAGAAAGTTATTTAAAATTATTTTTTTATGCAATTAATATTAGGGAAAATCGTTCACTTCTTTTGAAGTAAATCTTTTCATAAAAATTTTCAAAAAACAAGACAAAAAAGGTGTTAAAAACGAAGGTGAAAGAAAAGTTGAAGGCCAAGACAAAGGCGAGGCAAACGGCCTTCATACCCGTGTTGAATTAGTGAGCCTAATAGACGACGATTCATTCCTAGAACCGAAACATGAAGAGGAAACAAAGAATGAATTTAATGGTAAAAATGTTTTAAAAATATGCTTAAAGTTTGGTAACATTAAAAAGTGTCATTTATTTTTAGATGGAGACTCAATTAACGCACTATTATTCTTGAATGAAGGTGAAAGTGAAGGTGAAGGCCAAGCAGAAGGCGAAGGAGAAGGCAAAGGCGAAGGCAAAAGTAAAGAAAGGGGCAAAGGCCAAGACAAAGGCGAGGCAAACGGCCTTCATACCCGTGTTGAATTAGTGAGCCTAATAGACGATGATTCATTCCTAGAACGGAAACATGAAGAGGAAACAAAGAATGAATTTAATGGTAAAAATGTTTTGAAAAATATGCTTAAAGTTTGGTAACATTAAAAAGTGTCATTTATTTTTAGATGGAGACTCAATTAACGCACTATTATTCTTGAATGAAGGTGAAAGCGAAGGTGAAGGCCAAGCAGTAGGCGAAGGAGAAGGCAAAGGCGAAGGCAAAGGCGAAGGCAAAAGTGAAGGAAGGGACAAAGGCCAAGACAAAAGCGAGCCAAACGGCCTTCTTACCCATGCTGAATTAGTGAGCCTAATAGACGAATATTTAAACCTAGACCCTGTATTTGAGGAAAACATAAAAAAAGAATTTAATGGTAAAAATGTATTTCAAACATACTTAAAGTATGTTAATATTGAAAACTAATGTATTTTTAGATGGAGATTCGATTAATGCACTGACGTTCCTTGCGACCATATTGAAGCATAAACCAAATGTATGGAAACGGTTCGCTGTATAACCATATCTTACTCGATGTCTTATGTGTGCTAACATTTCTGTGTTTTAAAAATTAACCGTATTAATTTATATTTAGGGTAGAGGTCTAGACATGGCACTGCTAAGAAAATGTTCCGATTTGTATACATCGTTTTACGTTAATCTTCCTACTGATAGCGTAGTAGACTTATTTCTGTCGTTACAAATCGTTTCCAATGACTATGTTGGGTTGCTATACGAAATCGAACACGTTCGTAAGTGTTAATTTATATTAGTTTAAAATTAATTTATCATAATTACTTTTTTATTAACAAAAACAAAATGTTTAATAACCTGTTTATAGAACCCCCGGCTAATGAGCTGCAAGAGGTACTAGCCTTTGTGTCGGATTACAATAAGGAGGTCGACGAAAACGCTACTGTAATATTGAATTACGTTTATATTTTTATACAGTGTTAATAACAATTATATAATTAGTTCCAAACATTAATAAGGTATAATGATGATTTTGCAGTTGCTGCGTTTTACTTATATTGATGTTAGAGATATGATTGAGGAGTTCTCTTCGTACGACGTAAACTCTAACGGTGTGATCAGCTATAATGAATTTTTCTCGCTTGCTAGAACTTACGAAATAACAGACAATCTTTTAAGTAATTATTATAAACATGATATAAGTATTATATTTGGTTAAATCATTTTGAATAAACAATAATTGATTTCAACAGTAAGTCAGTAACTTTGTTCCAATGAATATTTTTAAGATTTTTTTTTATAATAATTTATACTCATTTATAATTTGTATTTATGTATTTTTTTATGAAGCAAACGTAATAAAACACATTTTAAAAAAATTAAAAAAAGTAAAACAGGTAAGAGCACGAAAACCATTGTGCTGATAGCGCAATGAGTTTAAATTAAAAAAAAAATAATTCACTAGAACAAAAGTTATTTGAATTGTCAAATCATTGTGGGCCATCCAGTGTATATATTTATCTTACACCATATTGTGATTTAGTATAGTGCATCACTAATACAATACTTTTATTAATGCACATTTTAGTCTCCACGTTTTGTTATTATTTCTCAATTGTAGAAATGTATATTATAGAATAAATTAGACTTGTCTCATGTTCTAAATACAAATATTAAAACATGTTATTTGATTTTTATTACTTTTGAGTTATTAATTTTGTGTTAGTGGTTTCCGAAATACCGGAACTTAAATCGCTCATTAAAGTATACCGCCTCTCGCAAATGAAAGGAAATCGTTTCCTTAGTCATGTGGATGAAAATCCTGATGGTAAGAATTAATTTACACATTTTATAATTTACTATTCATGCCTAATTTGATATCACCTAAAAAAACTGTTTCTAGTAAACGGTTCAATGACCACTTCTACGTTCTTTTACTTGAAATACTATTTACGTTTTCTACGATTAACTGAAGAAGAAGAACAGAAAAGATTAAAAGTAATTCAAGAAGAAGAAGAGAAAGAAGAAGAGAAAAGAGAACGGGAAAGAATAATTATATTCCGAAAATATGAACAGGAAAAGAATAGATTAAAAGAAAAGTTGGAAAAAGAAGAAAAGGACCGCCGTGACAATATAAGGGCACCTGAAGAAGTGAATCCCGGCATTTATGAAAGGGTTCATCGGCATTTTAGACTGTTATGGGGACGTGGAAGTCCCTTAAGAAAAGTGGAGCCGGCAAAATGATTATGATTTTAAATTTTTGTTTGACGTTTTATTACTGCACCATTTTTATTTTTTTGAAAACGTGCGGCTTGTTTTGTATCTTAAAATAAGAAAGCAAAAAAAATGTTTTATTAAAGTATATATTACTCCTATTTATGAATAATTATATTTTGAGTATTTTGTCTTGTTCCGTATAAATAAATACCATTTAAAAAAAATATATGTATATACATATAATATAACAAATCCCGTCATTTATGAAAGGGTCATGCTAAATCACCTGATCTGTGTGCGAGTGGATTATCCAAATGCCTCTAACTTTTATATCCTCTTTAAAAAGTTGTATAAAATCGGAAAAGTGAAAAAAAAAATGTTGAGACAAAATATTTGGTTTGGGGCGATGTTATTTTTTGTACATTTAATATGAAAACCCCTTAAGTCTACGACCATGTTACTTAATAAATAATTATATTTTCGAAATGTTCACTGAATAATATTGTAATTCAAGTGTTCTTTTTCATAACACCACTAAACAATTTTTTTTTCAATTGTTAAGTAGCTAAAAATTGAAAAAAAACATTAAAAATGTTATATTATATTTCATTTTTATGTTGTAAGGTCTTAATTAAAAACAAAAAAATGTATTCTGACACATTTAACTACACACTTTTGATTCATAATTTTTTTTTAATTTATTATGATGTATGCAATTTTTAATAGCCTATAACTTTTTAGGGCTTGAAATAAAAATTCTGCAATTTGTACAACACTTACTTATATGTACACAAGGTGATCCACTTATCGTGAACTACTCAATATCTCATAGGGTTTAATAAGAAATACAATTTTTTTTTCATATCGTTTTTATACAATTCGATTTAAATATTTTACAATTTTTCTCCATACTAATTTTTTTTGATATCAACTTTTGAAACTTTAATGGTAACGTATATATTTTATTAACTTTTTAAATTGAGAATAATGTACTTAAAATTTTGACTAGTCGATAACCAGCATTCGGATATTTATTTTTGAAGTTATTGAAGTTTCAAGTTTGGGGCAGGAGGAAAAGTGTAGTAAAGTATTATTTTTATATGCTCGCATTTCCCAACCACACTATCTCTAATCCTAATTTTAAAACTCTTATAACTTTGAAATTCGTTATCCGAGACTTGTTATCAACCAGTCAACATATTTAGTACATTATTCTCAATTTAAAAAGTTAATAAAATATGTACGTTACTATTTTAGTTTCAAAAGTTGCTATCAAAAAACTTAGTTGGGAGGGGGTAAAAACAAAAAAAATCGTGAAAATTTAAGATCACATTGTATAAAAACATTATGAAAAAAATAATGTTTAATTTCATGTTAAACCCTATGAGATATTAAATGGCCCATGATAAATAAATTACCCTTTACATATAAATAAACATGTACAAATTTCTGAGTTTTTGGTTTAAGCCCTAACAAGTTCATAGGCTCTTTAATATAGCACTATACAACGAAATTTAAAAAAAGCAAATTCTTACAGCTCTTAAATAAGTCTTAAAGTCAAAGTTTCAAAAATGTTTTATTTTTTTTCGACACATTAGACTTTATTCCTTTGGGTCATAATTTTTTTTAATGATTTATAAGTAATTTCAAAGTTTGGTATTTTATTGAAAAGTGCTATACAGAAAGTTTTATATAGAATTGTAAAAAAATGAGACCACATTGTATAAAAACATCCTGAAAAAAAATTGAATATCTTTTTTAACCCTTTTAGATATTGAGTAGCTCACGATGAAAAAATCACCCTGAATATAGAAAACCTAATCATTATTTAATGATTATGATATTTATAAAAAAAAAACATTTGTAATAGGTATTATGACAATTGTAAATTTTCATTTTTTTTTTCAAGATTCTTTCAGTATGATTTGTGTTATTTACTGGGTAATAATCATAAGATAACTATATAAACAATGAAGCATATTTAATAATTTTTATAATAAGATTAACAGTAATAACAGATTAACAAATTAACATTAAGATGAAGCGAAAAAAATAGGTCTTGATATACATACTGAAAAGACAAAGATAATGGAACTCATTGAGAGTGGGGTGGGCCCCAATGAGATGGAAGTCTTAACCTATGAAAAAGTTAGCGATTTTAAATATTTGAGAGCAACGTTAAGCACAAAGAATGACTGGTCATAGGAAATAAGTATTCGGATTAATAAAGCCCAAAATGCGTGCTACGCTATGATAAAAATTTTAACATCCAAAATGATGTCTAGGAAAACGAAAGTAAGACTGTATATGGCTTTTATAAGACCGACTCTCATGTGTGGTGGCAAAGCTTGGACGACGACTAAACAAACAGAGAGGATCTCGAGGACTTTCGAGGACAGAGTATGGAGGAAAATATGTGGGCCTATCATCTATAAAACAACAGGGAACTGGCGAAGGAGATATGTACGATAAGTTGGAACTAGCACCAGTAACAAGCATACCTACCTAACCAGTCTTTAGCCTAAGGATACAATGGTTAGGTCATATAATGAGAAGAGGCGAGAACGAAACAGTTAGAGTAGCATTGAAATGGAAACCACAAGGAAAAAGATCTAGAGAAAGGCTTAGTAAGATATATTGACATTACATCAAAATTTAACCTAACCAATTTAAATTGTTTGTTGTATTTGGTATAACATTTGTTTTTTGTTTATAATCATGATTGCCGTTATGATCAACTTTTTCACACGTCATAATATGTAATAAACAGCGTCTCGATGATACTAACATACTTTATCACTATTGATGATAATTGTCAACTTTGAATAATTGATAATTCAAATTTTACACAATGATTAGTCAACATTATTAAAAAAATATGTAAATGAAACCTGAACAAAAGATTTTTTAAAATAAATAATTTTAAAAACAGTTTTGTATTTCAAAAACGTAACAAATAATAATTTTTTATTGTTGTCAAGTAGAAACATTTTGGACGACCAGAAATTAGAGCCCATCTACAAAATTCAGATACGCAATCAAAAATATAAAACATGTATATAACTATATTTTGAATTAAATAAACAATTTTTTAAGTCTTTAAAACACTATACTAAATTGATGGACGCTTTCAAACAACAAGAGTATTATAAGTACAATTAGTAAAACATAATTACCTATAACAAC